ATATCAACATCACCAGCTTATAAGTGTCCACGGATGAGCAAAGGCCTCATCTCACACGGCAAAGCTTTGAGCATTAATCACCACGCTTGCTCACGGCGAGCGATATCAAACTTATAATTAGAAATTATAAATCCAGGTTTCCTTAAGATGTTTTCCGTCACCGTATGTCAGTGGTGTCTAATTTATAATAGAAAGTACTTGTAACTCGCAAAAAGTCACATTGGTACTTGCTAGGTTTCATTCCCGCATTCTCATGCATCAGAACCTCAGGGTCACCACGACCTTAATAGGTTTTCGTTTAACTTAAAACGCATTGTTATAGCATTTATCAAATCCGTTCTAAAACTAACAACTATGAATAAAAAAGTTGAAACCATAACGTTCTTTTTGTTTCAACATGGCCATCAATGACCATTGGATGCTAAAACGATCACGTGGATTTCGCTAACAGTCTGTATTGCCCGTTATCTATCAAAACTTAAAATCAATAAACGCTACAGAACAAAACAAAACAGTCGGCTTAAATTTTTATTTTGAAACAATACGCTAGGCGCCTGCAATATGCGGATAAAGCGTATCCAATGTGCTAATCCAAAGTCAGTGACCTCGATAGGCTTTTCCATACTGGCGGATCAAAATATCATATACTTATATATAAATATTAAAGAAATGCTAGTCATATTCGGTTTCGTACTGTAAATCTCAAATTATTCTGAAAAAAGACCACAACGATTACATTTTTAAGACTCACACACCCGGTTTCCGAAAGGCCGATCAATGTTAAAATCTATTTTATCTCTTGTCAAGTCATCTGATTGGTTGACTAAATTATCAACAACCAATCAGATGACTTGACAAGAGATTTCACAGGAGATTAGTTAATTTAAGCGTTGACAAGCCTTTCAGAAACCGGTTGTCAGTCACAAAATATTGTAATGATGGTATTTAAGACAGACATTTTTAAGTCACCCATATTTGCACATAATTGTCCCAAAATAAACTGCGATTCCTGTGTATATCTACAACATTGTTTTCAAAGATGGCGCTCAAGTATTCAAAAACTTCAACTAGCACTAGATGACTTCATACGAACGCAACTAAAATTTTCGAACAATAATTATAACTGGAGTTAGTTAAACCTTGACAGAGAGCAAAAGAAAATCCAGACAAACTATAGGATGTTCATTATTCACTATTTAAATGGCCTAAATCTACTGTTGAATCTCTCAGGCTTCCAAGATAAGCTTGAGTCGTTACGGAGTAAGACATTTAAAGATAAAGAAAAAGTTTTAGATTCGGATTCGGCAGATGTTGCAAAAAGACATTTCGAAAGTTAGTGCAGTTCACGATGAACGCGAATGCCCCAAGTCCACCCGCTTGACTCCAAACAAGGAAAGAGTTAACATAGATCCGAATAAAAATAAAACTTTTCTTAAAAGCACAGAATAAAGATAATTGTAATATGGGTAAATTGAATAACTGCATACCTATTATGATTGATTCCAGTAAAAAGCCTTAAAAATTTAATATCTCATGCCAATAATTATAAAATGTTCTGGTGGCCCGGAGGTTACGGAGCCCGCTTCCCATGCATGAGGGTGTGGGTTCGAAACCTAGCAAGTACCAATGCCGCTTTTTCCGAGTTATATGTACTTTTATGGTTACTTAGACAGTATTGAGATACTAACATACTAATATATACTAACCAATACTAACATACTACTACATATTATACATGTACATGCGGGGAAACATCATGAGGTAATCTGACAATATAATTTCTAATTATAAGTTTGAAATTGCCAATCCACCTTGAACAACCGTGGTGTTTAATGCTCATACCTTCTCCGTGTGGGCCTTGCTCAGCAGTGGTCACTTATAGGCTTATGATGTATGTTTGATTTTATTTAATAAAATTATGCTTTCGTACAATAACATTTCGAAGATACATCTCATCATAAAATATTGTTCCATTATGTAAACTATGTTTCCTCCAGTCTAAGAAATACTAATAAATAAAATGAGAATAAGAAATAATATGAATGTTCGCGAGACTTCTTCAATGACATCTAACTTGAAATATTTATGATCGACTATTTATTTACTGCTTGCTATAATTTTCTGCAAATATTTTATTCAAAAGAAAATGGTTCGTTCGATACGACTTCAGTATTTGAATCATGAGCATTTTAAAAACTATATTCATACCTAAATAGTTTATTTAAAAATTGATGATTAGCTTCCATCTCCTAAGTGAAGATTGTAGGACTTACATAAATGGTGAAATTTCGTTGCGTTAAATAGGAAAGTAGGCTTATGACGCGATATGAAATTGCAATGAGGCGCCACTCTTGCGGAGGGTGAGGGAGTCTCAACAAATCCTACGATAAGGCCTTCATTACCCACACGTCAACCCTCTTCTCAGTGCGTCTTCGTCACCGCTTCAATCTTTTCGCGGATATTACTCTTAAATTATGACAAAAGCTTCAGTTTGGGAGCTGCATAATGAATCCCTACTAGTGATGAATGGATCACACCATTCATCATCATTTTCCATTGACATTTTGATTAAAATAATCGTGTACGTGACGAACACTTTTATGTGTGTTTGTTTTATTTATACAAATTCTTGATTTTTACTTGTTTTTATAGTGAAATATGAGTAGTATTTACTTTAATTTTGTCGAGGGAGAGTCATGCTTCGGCACGATAATTTCACAGAAAAACGGCGTGAAACAACCACAGCGTTATGTTTTCGCCGTGTGAGTGGGGTTACAAGAGGTTTATTTCCCCTTCCCTTCCCCTATTCCTGCCTAATCCATAAATTGTCGAAAACCTAATCTCCAAAAGTAAAGTAACCTACTCGTCGCACGTCTGTTGTTACGGCTGTCCAAGGGTGGCGCCGATTGCTTACCATCAGGTAATTTGCGTGCTCGTCTGCCACCCTATCACATAAGAAATACATACGTGCATAAAGTCATAAGAAACAATTATGGGATATTCCTTAGATTGAAACAATGGATTATATATATTTTACTAGTTCGTACGCGTGGCGTCGCTCCTGTCATTTGACTACCTCCCCTAATCCACCTTCCCTACTCTACCTACCCTAATCTATACCCTACTCTACCTACCTTACCTGCCCTACTCTACTTGCCCTACTTTACCTACTCTACTATACCTACCTTACCCTACCTACCCTGCTCTACCTACCCTACTCTACCTACCCTACCTACCCTAGTCTACCTACCCTACTTTACCAAGCCTTCTCTACCTACCCTACCCTACCTACCATACTCTACCTACTCTACTCTACCTAACCTAGTCTACCTACCCTACTCTACCCAACCTTCTCTACCTACCCTACCAACCAACCCTACTCTACCTATCCTACTTTACTGTAACTAATATACACTACCTACTCTATCCTACCCTAGTCCTTCTCCCAGTTCTTAGCTACCTCCCTACGAATTTTCAGCCAAATCGGTTCAGCCGTTCTTGAGTTATAAATAGTAACTTACACGACTTTCTTTTATATATTATGTAGATTTATATAATATTCCACTAAAACAGAATGTCACCGATAGTTTACTTACAACGCGACACTGTAAGCACGGCGTGTTTTGGTTTCATCTCATATAGAATGAAAACTAAACTTTGACTGCTTACAATATGTTCACTTTAATTTAAATATATTATGTTTGTGTTGAAATTGTATTATGAACCCTATCCAGTTTATATCGGATCATTGTAGTGCGGATAAGCCAAAGTATTTGGATGTAGTAACAATGAAGACACCTATATTATATCAACGTTGCCCTAGGCTAGGAGTTTCTCCTGTGGATTGGACAATCAGATCCGAAACAACAATTTGTAGATTACACACGGAAGAGTGAATCGGTAATCGAACCCGCGACATGTAGCTGGGTAGCCGGTTACCCAGCTACCGCGTCAAACTGTACACTTCTTGAAGTGAATTTTTTTTTCCATATACGTTGACTATTTGTATTACTTACTTAGCTACACTTTGTGGACAAATATCAAAAATAGTCTAATTAATGTGGTGCCATTAGAGTATTTTATACTTATTGATCTGAGTCAACATGCTCTGAAGTGTCTCGTACTAATAAAGGCCCAAATACATATCCATAACGACCTTAACTTTAAACTGCTCACTTCTTTTCACTTGGAATGTCTTGCATAATAAGTTATATTAGCAGTTGATCTACTTGAGAAAAAAATGCCTGGAAATTTCCTGTATTTTATCTACAGTTAAACGGTACAACTACCTGTAGATTAAGCAAATATTTGTTGCTCTTACCCCAGCAACTGATCGTTTAGCCACTGCACCAACTGCGGCGTTAAAGTAAATCATCTTTCGTAGCTTTTACCAGCAGAATCTAGGTGGTATTTACATACAACTCATAAATCAGGTAACGATGTTTACTTCGAACGTAGTAAAAAACTTGAAATAAAAGAACAAATAAAATCTAGGAATGCTGTGATCTGATTACACTTAATAGGTATGCGCAGAAGTTCTTAATAAAAACTTATTAAAATTTTCACAACAATACGATTTTATCACAGTAGGTCGAGTATAATTATTAAGTTAAAATAGGTAGGTATGTATTGAAATTGTTTCGTAATCAATTTCCAAGAACACCTTTCATTTAAATAAAACTAAAACAAGGACTTCGCTTTTCTAATAAAATGTAAATTCTATTCTAAATACTTTCATAAATATAGGTATGTGATCAAAATGTAAAAGACAAAAATGTTTGTTTTAAAATGCCTTTATTTTAAATTTTAATGAATAATTGAAATAAAACAAATCGCGGGTATTTTTTACATTATTCTAAAAATATGGTTTCCTTCGTTGGAATTGGTTTGGCGGCATTCTATTAGCTAACCTTGTAATGAAACTCAATTATATCTTGAACCACCGCTCTATATATGAAAATTGACAAATAGGCTTTACTAAAATCTCTTCAATTTTGTAGGTTTACTGCGCCTGCAGCAGTTGTACCAGAGCCTGCAACCTGGCAATGCAACATTCCGTATAACAAACGTGAAACGAGTGTCCAATGCATCCGATGTGGTGGAGTTTCTTCGTGCTATAGAAAAACTGGACCGCTGGAGCAACAAATATGTTGTACTCGATTCTACCACGCAGCTCGCAAAAGCCGCGCTAATTATGCACGTACGGGATGTGCACCTTGGCCGTAGGAACTATCATTACTTCCTGAGCGGACTGGTGAGTAATCTCCGAGCTCATTGTTAGAAAGCTAATTGTGAAATCTTAAGATCCCGACTTTGCATGTTCATGTAACAATAAGGAAAGTTGCGAAGTTGCAAAGTAACAGAGATTACTTTCAGCAAAATCAGACACGGACCTCCTTATTTGCCAGAACTGAGACACTGGGAATCTCATCATTATTTTAGTGTTATCGTACGATGTCGTTTTAGTTAAGTATACAAAACGAATGTGTTGGGATTTTAATAAAAGTCACAGACACATCTTAGCCAAAAATTTAAGTATAAGATAGAGTCTTATTGCACAGCAATTGGGTGCCCACCTACCACGCTAGTCAAAGAATAGCTATATTACGGAGCAAAGTTGGGAAGTATTTATTTGGGCCTGCTGTTAATGTCACGTCACCAACTTCCTCTCATGTCTCTCATTGACCAAAAAATGGTGGGAAATTAAGATAATAAAAAATCGTGTGTTTATGAACATTTTAATATGTTCTAACATCAGTTTCGCTAAATGAATAAATTGCTATAGGTAATGGACGACAGATGGGAGAAAGAAGTTACTGAATACGGAGCTATCAACATCACTGGATTTCGTCTGTTGGATTTTTCCCGAAAAGTAGTTCGTGATTTTATTGACGCCTGGAAAAGAGAGACCATTTCCGTAAGTTGCATATTTTTGTTTGATTAAATTTCAGTTTGACGTTTTTAGACTTGTAAGTACTTTCTATTATTATTTAGACACCCCTGACAAACGGTGAAGGAAAACTACGTGAGAAAACCTGGACTTATAATTTCTAATTATAAGTTTTAAATCGCCAATCCACCTTGAGCAAGCATGGTGTTTATGCTCAAACCTTTTCCTTGTGGGAAGAGGTCTCTGTCCAACATTACTTATAAGGCTGATGATGATGAAGTTACAGTTAGTATAATAGGTGGTTATCACAAAACATATTCTTCTCCATATTCCAACTCAATTATGGACATCGCAACTTTTTCTTTACTTTATTTACATCAGAGTTCATGACGAATCTTATACTAAAAACTGTACTTAATTCATGAACAAAAAAGAACATTCGTTTTGCAAATTATACATATTGATATGATTTAATTTTCATCCTCGTTGTAACTAGGAAGTCTAAGAAAATTATGACGGATGAATAAACTATTATGTGATCGGCTTCGCATTTTTGGAGATGTGCTTAGAAATCGTAACCGCTTATTTTCAGCTGGTCGTAGGCTAAGTCGTTACTGACAGTACAATAGCTTAAAAAATCTAAATGTATATGTTTTGTTGCAGGCTCAAGCCGCTCTCACTTACGACGCAGTGCAAGTCTTGATAGACGCCATCTTACGCTTGGTACGAAAAAAGCCAGAGTTTGTTCGCGCAACCATGAGACGTGCGAGTCAAAACAATACAAACAAATCTATGGATTGTAACCCAAAAAACAAATTCATTCCTTTCGAACATGGCGAGAAGATATCTCGGATGATCAGGAAGGTGAGTACTTAGTTTTCTTAGTTTGATATCAAAAAGTATAATACATTATCTTGAAATCCATTGTGTTCTGTACATTACACGTAAAATCAAAGCATAATACGGCTGCAATGTGTAACTGTGAAAATGATGCTTATAATACTGTTATGCAACTGTAACGAACCTTTATTCTCTAGAGTAATTTTACATTCCCTGTTGCTCATGCGAATGGTTGGTATATCAATTCATATATTCAATTATGACTCCGTGCGAATGTTTCGATATTCATGCGTTTTCCATATTCGTGACGTGAGCACGTCGCGTCAGATATTTTGAATCTAAAAATGCGTATAATAGTATTTTCATTTAGTTAAGTATGTACTGGGCGTATATCAAATACGAGTATAAAATATGGCCAAAACTATTATTGATTTATAATTATAATATCATCAAACATGACGCCAGTCTTTTATCAATGATACATCTTTTCGAAAGGATAAGTGATAGTAAAACGACAGAGAAAGTTAAATGGCATTTCGCTTATAACTAAAATATTCTTTGTTTGTACGAAAATAAATTGTAAAAGGAAGTCTCAGGTTGCGGCGGTTGCCGGTATATGGGTCTGAGCCAGGAGGTGGGAGTGTAGCTTTATTCCCTCAGTCAAACGTGGCGCCGGCTGCGCGCGTTGGCAGGTCGCATGCAGTGCACACTTACCCCACGTCAAAATACATGACTGTCTCTGACATATTATCTTTAATGTTTTATAGCACAAGTCTTATGGACATAATCCCCATTGTGTTATAAGCACAATATTTGGAACCAAATTTAAATTGAGCTAAATAATAAGAACACAGGTGTTAAATACGGTCCGTATTTTATATCGGGATGCTTAGTGGGTGGAGGAAGGCTCACAGACTGACGATTAATTAGGTTTCGTTGGGTGACGCGTAATTAACCCTCGCATTCGCTAACTACCCCGATTCGCCCCACGCGGGATATTCGAAACCCTTTGCACTTTTCGAGTTCTCTTTCCAGGAAACTAGTAATAACAATAGTTACGGATTCCTTTTTTAAAAAATGACGATATTAAAGTGAAGCAAAAGAGTATCCATGTCTTGTTTTAGACGGAGATTGTTGGGATAACGGGCAACATACGATTCAATGACTTAGGACATCGCAAGAACTTCACGCTTCAAGTGATGGAATTGACCGAAGACGGCGACATGGTGAAGGTAAGACAATTTCTTGATCGCCGATCTGGCGATGTAAATAGTTAGTCAATGCCTAGTATCATAACAAGAATATCGATCGATGTTAATGGTGGGTAGAAACTTTCTTTGCGATAAAAATTGTTTTCGAAATTTGTCTCCCATAGATATTGCTTATTTAACGAGATTGTTTCCGAGAGTCGTAAATAAGTCCTCGGTCTCACCCCACCAAAAGTAAATATGAAATTTTATGACCTAAAAATATAGAAGAGTATTTGAAATGAGATATAAAATTCTTAAGTATTTTTAAATAACAAACGACTGGTCGATTTTTGTTATTTTTTTTTTGTAACAAATTAGTTTTCAAATTGAAAAATATAAAACTTTTTTTTTAATACTGATGTAACGGTTTTGAGCAGTAGTTTTTTTTATAAATAGTAAAAGTTCTTGTTAAATATAAAAAAAAACCGAGACTTATATTTGAATAATAATTCTAAAGTAAAAATTTTAAAACACACAACTCGATCGAATAAATTCCATTAAAATTTCAAAAAAGATATTAAACTTTATACTTTTCTTCATTCAAACTATCCTAAACAAACAGGTGGCAACTTGGTCGGACAATAAAGGACTAGTACCTGTCATCCCTAAGAAGGTGCCCCCTGCCATAACTGGAACCTATGATCGCAATAAAACTTACATTGTAACCACTATCGAAGAACCACCCTACATCATACGCAACGACCCCGAAGATCCCGAATATAACCCCGAAGAACCATTCACCGGATTTTGCGCAGAACTCACAAAAATGTTGTCTGAAAAAATGGAAATCAACTGTAAGTAGGACGTCCAATCATCTTAATACTTAGCGTTGAATCACAATCTAGCCCGTAATATTGAGATTAAGACTCTTTTTGCGACTCATTAAGACGTAATTTAATTTAAACTTAAAAGCTTAGATTTTTTTGTGGATTTCGCTAACTCTGCTGACTTTTGTTCGAGTATTTACAGTAGAGAACGAAATCTAGAGTAAAAGAAAGATAATTTCACGAAATTCCATATAAAATAAAGTGAGTTCATTACGCGACGTGGTCGTGACGCGCGCGCTGCTCATGAATAGGAGTCTAGTCAGTAAGAGTCAAGTGTGACTTGTAGACCAGTAGAGCTTTTTTTCAGTTAATTCGCGTAGTTCATATGTAATTTGAACGCAGAACATGATTATTATTATGTACAGAGTTTTGTATTACTGAGTCTGTCTACATTGTTAGCCAGAATAAATTCTCGTCTGCCGAATTAGTGGCAAACATTATATAATTGTTTTAACATTTTATAATATGTCAAAACTTGTCAATACATCGATATTTCACCTCGAACTTGCTTTCGCAATATACACATAGATTCTCGTAAAGTATTCACACAGGCGATAAAAATCTGTGAATTAACGAAAATTTGACGCGACACTGTGCGGAAAAAGTCCTCGTGACTTTCATTTCGTAGTGCGGATCGACAAATGATCAATTAAGTATATCATATTTCCCGAACTAATCACTTGTTTATCGAGACCGAAAATAAACATTCCCTCTAACTACTATCCTAGTAGAATTTGTGCACAAGTTTATGATAATATATAGCTGTTTGCTTCCAAAATAAAACTATACGAACAGATTTGGATTAAAAATTACAAGCTAAATATAATTTAAAAAAGTAATTTGTAAAATTTTTCTTTTTTATAAACGTAGGCCCGTACTAGTATACATAAAGCCAGATCCGGATCAATAATTTGTGGATCACACTAAGAGTTGCTTCTTTCGGAAATCGGACTCACGATACGTTGCGCGGACTTAAGTAACTTGAAAACGATAAGCATTGAGTTGGAAGAGACCTTGCTATCTGATTGTTTTTTTGGGGGAGAGGGCAACAGACGAACAGATTGATTATCTGATGTTAAGGAGTTGTTACAGCCCAAGGGCACCTACAATACCAAATGCTTTATGCTTTACATGTGCGTGTAAGGGATTTGAACATAGGGAATTTGGGACGAGGGGAAGATTTGGCCCTTGTTAACCTCACACACACTGTGATCATGGTTGTTTTACACTGGCCTTCTGAAAGGTCTTGGTAATACTCCGGTGAAAGGACTATACTATGTTCTTATGAATGGCTTTCTCGCGTGCTAGCGCGCGCAAAAACAAAAAAATGTTCTTTCTTTATGTAATAGGTCGGCAAACGAGAAGACGTATTACCTGATAGTAAGCAATCAGCGCCGCCCATGGAAACCCACAACGGAGGAGTTACAAGTTCGTTGCCGACCTTTTAGGGATCAGGGATTGAGGAGGGATTGGGGGAGGGGAATGATTTGGCCTCCGGTAACCAAACTCACACGGCGAAACACAACGCTGTGGTTGTGTCACGTCGGTTTTCTGTGAGGCCGTGGTATCACTCCGGTCGAGCCGAACCATTCGTGCCGAAGCATGACTCTCCCACACTTGAATATAACTCCTGTTTTGTTATTATTTGTCATGGAGGATGAAGATACCTTACGATGTAACAAAGTTTCACTGTTACTTAAGCCTCAAACAAGAATTGTAATTGGTTTTCACTGTTATCAAATTTGATACATTTTTGGTTTCATTATCTGTTGTACTCGTAAAGTAACATCTATTATTGGGAAATAGTTTAAAAATATTCACGATATGACAATGGCGGTCGATGTGTGTGGGTTGAAGGGACGGTCAACAAAAGCATGATGGTCTATTTCTGACTTATTTTGATATCCTCGGCTTATACTGAAACGTAATGAAATTTCCGGATATAGATAATAGTGAAGAATTGAGGAGAACAACAGACACGGAAGGCAGTCAAAACTACGGCAGTTGAAATGAGTATTTATTTATTTAGGATATAATTATTACAATAATGAAACAACCTAAGTATTTTTTTCAGATGAAATCAAGGTTGTGAGGGATGGAAAGTACGGCAGTGAAAATCCAAAGGCACCTAGCGGCTGGGACGGAATGGTGGGCGAGCTCTTGAGAAAGGTACTGTCCTTAGAAATAATCATACGTATCTTTTACTAACAAAATTGACCACAGAATATTTTACAACTGAAATACAGTAAAATCGACATTAATTAAAATCACAATTTATTTTATCATATTAAGTAGTATGGGGTTGTCAAGCTTGTCAAGGGATTTATTCAAAAAGGTATTTACGCAAGGTATTTAATTGTCATTATTTTAACTTTTAATATGTTTATTCTGTTGTGCGAGAAAAATGTGTTAAATTGTATTTAAAGTTCAAAATGCATTGTTTTTTCGTTACCACAATGCGCGCTGTAACATGCATAACGTTTTATACAATTCCACGGATTGGATCTGTAGGATTATCTTGAATAAAATTACTAATATTGGGTGACTTTAAAACTTAATTTTCAAAACCGTGATATACACAAATAAAGTTACTCTTTACGTTATTACTGACCACATATTTATTTATACTACTCTAAAAAAATCATTTTACATATTACTATAAAATATATACCTAATAAAATAATATTCAAAATTATAAAAATAAAAGAGCCGGCAGCAGGAACAAAGTCCAAGCTACCGGTGGTTAAGGCTTCAGAGACAGAAACCTCCTCACAAAACGTGCCTCTTCAAGGAGGACTGCCTCCTGTATGTCCAATACTCTCATATTATTTAGTTGAATGATCTGTATTAAATCAGTTTGACTCTTAAGTAATCATAAAAATAACTTCAAAATCTTATACAACATAAATCACCTGCATATATATTACCTACAATACAAATAAAAATATTATTCGAATGACTTCCGAGTTTTCAATCTTTCTCCTAAGATACCTTATGTATGACCCAACTGAATAGAAAATATTTGAACTGAACGGCCAAATTGGAAAATCTCTCGTTTTGTACTTATTAGTGCTTATACTTATACAGACTTACAATTGGTTCTTTGCATATCTAAGCCAGCTTTATTATGGACACGGCCTATCTATAGGATGATCCGCGAGCACTAGATAACATCGAATCAAATATTCCTTAAGTATCTATTGATTGGAATCAATTCTTGTAGAATTAGATATAATTTCTGAAAATTAGATATCTCTAAAAAAATTTAGAAGTTCGTTGTTTTATGTGTATCAAAAGGAAGCTTATATTAAGCGTGGAATTGTAGCAGCAAGGTTTTTAAGTTCGCCTGACGTTCTAAGATACAGAATGTTTACTTAGTTTAGTTAGAAGCCAGATACACAGATTACTTAATTGTTTATAATCTCATTTTTTTTTTATGAAATCATCTACCTTTTTTGTGGACATATTTTTTACCGTCGTGGACATTCATGCCAGTAATATTTCTCCAAATACCAGATATTCGGCAGTACTAGTCCCAATAGTTTCATACATGTTGTGTAGATATAAACCATATTTTGATAAACGTATCACTACCGAGTATTACTACATTTAAATGACTAAATAAACTCACACCTTAACAACAACACCAGTTTTACCTAGGTATTTAGTGCTAACAACTTCCGACTCTTGTTAAAGCCTTAATTTTGTAAATAGCCGGAGGGTTACCACTGATTTTGACGGTAGTTAGATGTCAAACTAGAATTGAGTCCGGTGGGGTTTACTTTGATTTAAACCCCGACTTAAAGTTACCTCTAGCCCGCCGAAATAATTGAACCAACTTTTCCTCCACAAACATAAGACAAGTTTCTACGATGAGCCTTCAGAAAAGTGGTCAAAGAAGACTCGAGCTCGGTTTCGGAAGAAAAATATAAAATACAGTTGCATTTTTGTTTTGCCTTTTTTAAATAAAGTTCTTAGCTTGATGTCGAATATGTAGTTTATAATCTTATTTATTTATTGAGTACAATATAGTATTATATTTAGGATTGTTTAGGTTTCATCGTAATAGAAACCAAGCAATATTTAGACTACCTTATTAGTCTTCTATTTCGATGACCTCTAACGAGTATAAAAAAAAAATTACACGTCCTGTTTGAATTTAGTTTACACAAATATAAGAATGTTTGAGATTGGTCGAATGGCTTTTAAACATAACAAGTTTTTGATCCCCAAAAAATTCGTTCTAACAATTATCACCAAATTAACAAAATACTTTACTATTAACGATTCAACGAACTCGAAGAATAAGTTGCCTCATATTAATAAGTAATATGTTATGGCGTAATGTGATAAAGAATAAACAAAAAACAATTCGGACCTGTATCGCCCAAAAAGTGCATAAGGATGAGTTTAATTTTCTATAAGTCACTGTTATAATCCTTTGGGAGCATGGATCGGGAATAGGTTGGCGTCGTTATCTGGTGGCCAGCAAGCAATAAATATCTTTGTAAAATCCCGATGTCCCTGCAGCGTTATTCCAAAGCCTGTTATTGCCAGTCCTCGGTATACCGTGAACTCCAATTTGCGAAATCAAATTAAATCGTTCGTATCTAAAATATGGTTTACATTACAGGGTGAAAGGCAAATATTTTTAAGGTGATTTTTGATCATTTAAATTATTTTATCCTATTACTTGATTATGACGTAATTTAGGAAAGTTTTTTGTAGACTGTCTTTGTCGTCTTGATTGTGGTTAGTTATACCACAATAGATGGTGGATTGTGCCAGGGACTTAATACTTTTACATACATATTATAATATCTATCAGCAAGAGGTATCATAGAAAAATCTAGACAGCTAGAAAAATCGTTGGGTGGTATATTTTAAAATAACTTTTTCTTAATAATCTTTTGTCTTTACCTTTACTTTTTCTATTGATAACTCTTTTTTAAGATTACGTTCTGTCTTATTTTTGGCCCAATTAATAAACTGAAAATTGAATAGCTTCATGGATTCCTCACAATTTACGAATGTGTCTGTGACATAAATAAAGTTTCAATTTATTTGGAATACACGCCTTTGCGATTCATGGATAATATAAAAGAACCGAGCAATGTAGTAAAAGGAACTATTAAGACAAAAACTACTGAGAAGGTTCTGTGAAAATTGACCTGGATTAACGCTGTGATAACTTTTATCCGGGTAAGATGAGCAAAGCCGCACGCGGACCGCTAGTGATTAATATGAATTGATTTGACAGTGGCAGATTTTGGCCTTCGCAGCGTTTTTCTTTGTGCTAAAGCGCGAATCTTGAATTGTAATATATCCATCTATAGTACGTATCTATAACTAACTTATTCCCTTGAATTACTAAGCTTTTAGAAACTCGAATATGATTGTAGTGATATTCATAACGTGATGTCGTGGTGGCCCGGAGGCTAAGGCACCCGCTTCTCAGAAAGATGGGGAAGGTGCTTGGCAAGTACCAATGTGACGTTTTTTTAGACACCACTAACATACGGTGAAGGAAAACATCGTGAAGGAACCTGGATTATGAAATCGCCAATCCACCTTAATCAAGCGTAGTGATAAATGCTAAAATATTTCTCAATGCTTCTCCGTTTAAGAAGACGCCTCTGCTCAGCAGTGGGTACTTATAGGGTGATGTTGAAATACACCCAAATTTATAATACCATTTATAAAAATGACTGTGTATTATCATGTTTTACAAACTTTACCTATCATTTCGTATGTGACATTTTTATCAAAGGTTAAAGTTACGTCTGGAGTGTGAATGACCTTTGAACGTGAAGTACTTTCAAATCCTTATATGAAAATGTACCTACATTCACGGAATTTTAAATTGATCGGAACGAGTAACATGACGTAAACGGTTTATAGGTACTTTCACGACAATATAGGCGGCGACAGCCATTTTTCTTTTAAAAATGACAAGGTTCTAGTTATGACGTAAGATAAGTTCTCATATGTGATACGAAAACAGAAAACATATACGATACAAATAATAATAATAATAGATAAAATTACAAATACGATAATTTCACTGTATCTATGATGTTTTTTGTACTGCTTGACAATGAATGAAAATCTCTCAAAGACATTACTGAGTTCAGTCATTTTAAATGAAAAAGATGATCCAATCCATACAACTATTTTTTATTATTCATATAATCTAGTGTTTAACTGCAAACCCACCAAGTGGTAAGCAGTGATGTAATCGTTGATGGTAAAGCGCACTAGTTTATTGATTACTAAAATTTGTTTTTCATTGTATTCAATACTAGTTACTCACGTGCGGTTTCACCCGCTGCTCGGCTCCATTTAGTCGTAGCGTAATGTTTTATAGCCTATAGCACACAGGAACATTGTAGCTATCTATCAGTGAAAGCATTTTCGAAATCCGACCAGCGATTACAAAGATTACCCCCCACAAAACTTACAAACTTACAAACATACCTACAAACTTACAAATTTTACCTCTTAATAATATTAGTAGTAGTATAGACTAACATAATTGTTATTCACAATGATGTTGCCGTAGCAATGTAGTCATTCATTTGCAGCAAACCTTATACTGATTTACAATTTCTTGCGACCTTAACAGAGATTTACGACCAAATATTATTAACAAAAAAGGATATAAAATATTTATCTTAAGCTCGTCTCTCAAAAGGACAGAGTGAACTAATGTCCCGATATCAAATAAGCCTTTGAAACGTCTGAGTTTTCTCACGGCGGTAGCGTATGCAGTTAAGCCATTGAATGAGAAGTTAAATGGGGACTGAATTGCAACTTTCTACCATAATCCCCTGAAGCTGTTGCGTCAACTGAATGATTTTATTTTTAATGTACTTACCTAAATATTTTTACATTTATTTGATGTAATTCATGTGACCAATACTGCAATACCACACATAATAATATCTCAATATCATAAGCTGAAAATAAACCTTCAAACACGACAAATACTTACTTACAAATACTTACTTAGCAGTAATTCTCAAGAGAATTGCCTGTCTTTTACTACTTAACTTCTAAAGACTTATCTTCTTCTACTTGACTTCTGAAGAACTTATCAAAAGGAGACAGTTATTATAATTATATTAATATAATTATCTTGTTTTAATATAAACAGTTTAACTCTACGCCGAATAGTTACGGGCATGGTCATGTTTTCTTGAAACTTGGTATTAATGTCCTTTGATGCAGATGATAGCACACCACGTTCCAGGTACTTTTGTAATTTAACCCCTAAGGGGTGCAAACGTACCAAAGTTTGTATCTATGTGTTTCAAATCTACTTGAAACTCGGTATTAACGTCCATCTGCGTAATTAATGAGGTACGAATTATAGTTTCTACAGCTTATCCGGTTACTTGGGAACCCTATAATCCATTCACTTGAGAATAATTTGTAAAACATTTCCAGGATTGTTGCATTGATAAATAACATAGAAAATGTAGTATATACTAAAAACTACTTAAAATCAATTTATTTAAAAGTAACTAAGAGATAGTGAAAATTCTAAAGTAATTTAATTTCCAGGAAGCGGACATAGCCATCGCTCCACTGACCGTAACTTTAGATCGTGAGGCGGTCATTGATTACAGCAGGCCTTTCCTGTCTTTTGATCTTAAACCTACTAAAAATACAGCGAACTCCACAAGCGCTATATTCAGCTTCCTCCAACCGCTGTCCATGGAAATATGGGTAAGGAAAATTGCCCGTGCCATTATATAATTATCAAGCACGTGTGACTAATGAAACGATGATACCAATTGGCGTATATTAATTCGCTTCCAGATCTCGATCCTCTGCAGCCTTTTCGCCGTAAGCGTGGTTTTATTCATCGTCTCTCGATTCTCGCCTTACGAGTGGCGTGTTGTCTCTTTCACGGATTCTCATTCTGATCATTCCGATGTATCTACAACAAAGGTAACATATACAAATCACTATTTTGATTATAATAAATTAAGTAAATAAAAAAATAATAATGAAATTATTGTAACTTTTACACAATATTGCAGACTACCGTGGTGAACGAATTTAGCTTTTGGAATTCTATGTGGTTCTCGCTCGGCTCCTTTATGCAGCAAGGCAGCGACATTAACCCCAGGTCAGTGCATATTTTAATACTTGATTGTGTAAAGTTATAAAAACTTGTAAGTTGACCAAACAGGTAATGAATCCGCTATACATAAAGAGTAATTTAGAAGAGGTACTAATAAAAAGAGTATTTTAGGTCCATATCGGGAAGAATTGTGGGATGTGTGTGGTGGTTTTTTGCGCTTATCGTGATTTCATCGTACACAGCAAACCTAGCTTCATATCTGACTCTGTCTCGCATTGCGGAACCAGGTGCATCTTACACTAAACTAGCCACGTGTCCTGAGGTATTTATGCCCGCATTTACTGTTTTATAAAGAATTATATAAATCTTGAGCCTTAATGTAGCATCTGAGAAAGTAGTAGAGTAAAGTGGATAACCCAAATACACTTATGTAACGAAGAAACGGTAAAATCGTTCCATGTTTCAGGATACTATTGACGTACCGAAAGTTGTTCCAACAACTGAATCTCCTGAAAAGGTCACGGATGAGCATGGTTGGCTTGCCTTCATCATGGATCGCCCAACTGCGGCACCTGACGATAAACCATGTGAAATGGTGGTTACCCTGACTCACTCTGGATACAAGGACTTCGCTGTTGGCATCCCTAAGGGTTCCCAGCTGCGGTAAGCATTCTAATGTTTCTTTAACTTATGCGACACTTTCCCCAATGCGAAATGTGCTCGCGATGTTTGTGTTGCGAATGATTTGCGAATTATGCTTTCCCAAGCTCTTCAAAACGCTTACGTGTATTTTCATTTGAGAGTGTTTTATAGGGACGGCGTAAATATGGCTTTGCAATCATTGAAAGAGGAAGGTGAGATTCCAAGGCTGGTGCGCAAATGGTTTACCAAATCCGAGTGTGATCATTCTGACAATGTAAGTTAACTGACAGTTACTCTCTTCCTTGCATTAGTCTTGTTATTTCGAAATACAATTTCTTGTTCTGTGTTTATATCATACCTATAATATAATTCCATAATTTATGTAAAAACAAAAGTAGTTGAACTTTGTATTAACTGCTAAATATATTTTCAGGATAAGGGCTCCGAGCTGACACTGAGTCAAGTGGCTGGCTTGTTCTACGTTCTGGTTGGAGGTCTGTCTCTCGCTATGGGAGTTGCCCTGATTGAGTTCTGCAGACATGGTCGTTCGGAGGCTGCTCGTGCCAATGTGCCGCTCCGCGATGCACTGCGCGCTAAGGCTCACCTGGGTAACACTGAACGTAAGGGACAATCTCAACGTGGACCCCAACGTGACAATGACCGCCTTGGATGGAACGGAGGCGCCTTTGGAAGCGTAAGTATTTATGACTTATTCTTTCTATCACTCAGTATCCTTATATCTTCACCACATAATTAGCAACAGTAATCCACACAAAATAATTTCTGAATTGTAATAAATTGCTCTGACATGCAAATTTTTCCATTAGCAGTACTATAGCCCGGCCAACCAGATCGGACAAGAGGAGACGGCATTGCATTCCAGCTTCACACAAGTCTGATCCGCAGCCCGGGAGGCGACGACTATTCGTCGGCCATCCCATTCCCGAAAGATGTCCAGTTCAGTCGAGCTCTATCAACTATAAACAACCTGGCTATCCCTTTGACAGCCGATCACCTGCACTGACCACGGATCTAATGGCATTTGCCCTGTATTTAACGGAATTCGAATAATACTGAACGAATTGACTAACATTGATTTGAACCTGGAACCTGGAAAACCCCCAACTGGGTGATAATTATGTATATATAATATAAATTTAGATAAAACTTCTGAAGTACATTTACTACTACTTTAACACGCATATTTTATCTTTTTAAGTTTTAAAGTGTAAGCTGAATGGACGACACTATTCTATATTTTCATTTCTTTCTTAATATTGGGGAAAAGACTTGTAAGAAAGGGAAATGTTGAGTCTCTATTTATGTATATTTTAATAGATTGTAACGTGTCGTATGTTTAAGTGAATTTTACGCCATCGTTGTTCACTGAACTAAGGCCGCAAAGTGATATCTATGATTCTTAAGGGAGAACTTAAAGTAACATAAACGAAATTTTTATCTAACTAATTAATTTGAAAAAGTATTACCCCTCCCCCACCCAAATATGTACCCAACGTAAAATTTTACTTAAACATTTTAATGAAATATTAATTATGTTGGCAATTCGGTTATTTAAAAAAGCCTGGCGTATTTTACAAAGTAGATGAATATCAGGGTCTTATAATTACGTGTTTAGTAAGTAAAACTTTTTTAATTAGGTGACATAATTTTAAATCCTGTAATTCTAAAAGTTATACCAGGTAGTTAGATAAAGATAAACGTTAATTATGGCTAAGTTACTGCTGTGAGGGCGCGGCGCCGGCGGTACTCCAATTGTTGAAATTAACGACTCCACTGGACTGCAGAGCGTAGGTAACTACTAAATATTCGCGAGTTTCGACGATGCGTGTTTGACTGTCATGCGACCTGTACCCACGTTGTCGTTCGACTGCAGCTCCAGCATGAAGTGACGCTCTTGGCATCCACTTCAATCCTAACAGCGGATTGTTACTAATCCGACCTTGTTATTCTGTTGACAAAACCTAACATTGCACACCTTATTTTAAATTAATATCGATGGTCAGTAAAACAAGTATTTTACTGTTAAAATTAGTAAAAGGATTAACAGATGGGTAAAAAGAGAAGACGGACTGATAAAACTATCTTTATAATTCTATTAACTAAACTGTAAAATCCTTTAGGGCAGGTCAATTTTACTTGCATAGGTATAATAATAGGCCAGAGGTGAACAAAGTTTACAGAGAATGCTAGCTGTAATGGAGCACGATATCGCTGTCTGTTGATTGTGTCCATCTCTGAACCATTAATGATGTATAACAAGCATTAGCAGTTAGTTGTTTAGTGGTTATAGTGATCACATGAAGATGTTTGCATAATTAATGATACGATTACATATTAAACGGTTTTGTGCGAATGCTTCGCGCGTCTAGCGTTTTGCTAATATACATGACCCATGCACCAGTACATTATATATATGTACATAAAATCGACTTTTCAAGTGTTCATTGTAACTATACATTTTAAACAGTTAGTGTAATAATATAAGATCATGTAACCATAGACGTAATATCAATAAATAATAAATAAAACATGTATCTGAATTTCAAAATAAAAAGTAGTTTCAATATTGACGTCTATATCAAATACAGTTTTTATTAAGATTTACATTAATTATAATCCAATAAATAAATTGTAGGATAATTTTCTGTGTCCTAATGTATAATTGAGTAGATGAAAGCACACTAAATTCAGATTCCTACGCATAAATCAGTTATCTTTTTTTATTTGTAACTTTATAAACTACACATGTGTTAATTACTCCTAGACTCTGTAAATTATTACTCTCTATACTTATATGTATAACTAATTGATCAGTTGGCTATTGATTCTTAATTTAATATTTATATATTAATATATATTTTATACTTAGTAAATGTTGTTACCTATAAATTAAGATGAATAAATTATTAATGCCAAAGGCACTAAATCATATCAAAATTATAAGTGACAGTCAAACTTTTAAGAAACCATGAATACTACTCTTGGTTTGTGTTTATGATTACTGTTATATATATATATATATAATATAAGCAAAATATAATTTGGTATTTAGCTTGTTAAATTAATTACGCTTCCGTCCTAAAGCTATTTTGATAATTTAGAAGTACCATTAGCTGATAACAGTAACTAAGCTTGGACTCGAATTAATTTTCTGATTTATATTTTGGCACCTGCCAAATTCAAGTTTTAAAATTTTGTGCCAAAAGTATCAGCAGTGCAAGGGGATTGGATTTAAAGGGAAAACAATATAATTGACACTATTACTATGAAGCAAATTATATAAAATCTGCGGTGGAATCCGTCCGTCTGGTGAAAGGCTGAACTTTACTACGGAAGCCATTTACGGCGCTTAATTCGAATTGGACATTATTGACAGAAATCCACTAACTACATTTAGCTACCAATATTAATTTTGTACATCAACTGTACTGAGCCAGTCAGACGTCACTCAAATTCATTTGCAATTAACACATTAACAACAACATTTGCAATTACTTCTTTAAATAATATGCAAGAACTCTCTATAACTATACATATTCTATTCCTAATATTTATATTAAAAAGTTCTTCAAATGACTGATTTACATAATCGTTTCACGGACGTAGTCTAGGTTTAAGAGCGTATTTCAATAATATTAAAATTATATTAATCATAAATGTAATCGATTATCTAATTAATTTTATATCTGCGAGGAACGAAGCGGATACTAGTAATAAAGTTGAAGACTATAGGCCGGTTGCACATGCTCTTGGTAACACTAACTTCCATAAAAAGGTTGGAGAAAATGTATTATGTAATTTACTGGTTCATATCAGGAACTTATTCGAGAGTTGTGAAACTGGCTCCTTAGTGCGAGATCACAACACTGCAATGCGACTACGCATCGCAAAAATGGCGTTGTAAGATGACGCTAACGGTTTTATAAAATCGATTAATTTGTCGTAATTTTTTTGGTTGCTAAGTCACGTGGCATTGTTGTCTTCTGACATTAAGGCTCTTGTTATCTGTAGTGTAATGTGATTATTAGATAATTCCGTAAACCAACAGTTTAACTAATATATTACTGTAAAATGAAATCATTGTGTCATTAGGTACTTGCTAAATTCCGTATGAAAACGGTGTATTCACCTACTCTATACTTCATGACGACAAACCACAGGTAACCATTTAAAACCTAAGCATGAATTTAGGTAACTATTACCACATATTTAAATAATATTGTCGTAACACTACAACTTGTATGTGATGAATATCTATGTATATGTTTGTTATAATAAACTATAATAAAGTAATCCAAAAATATATTATTCGTGTTTCATTTCAATGTCGTTTAGAGGTTACATTTTGTACAGTTTGAGCGAATGTATGGATACATGTTAGTTATTCTTTTATGCAAAAACGGCTGGATCGATTTCGTTGAAATTTGGTATGGAAATAGATGAAACCCTGGATAAACACATAAGCTGCTTATTGCCAACATACCATGCGGACGCAGCCGCGGGCAGTAGCTAGTAGATATTAAGTCCTTTACACACACGAACCGTAAGAACTCACTTAACATAATACTTGTCAAAAAAAATCAAGACATCATATCGCTAACCGCATTTCACACTATAGGGAAGTGCGTTTTTGAAAAACATACGCCAAGCATATTAGTGATCGATGACGCCAAGGCATAAAGCATGAAGAGTAATTAATATCAACACAGCGAAAAACGAATGAGAATTAATCTGTAAATCAAAGGTCAACAATTCAAAATATTTTTAAGCAAATAAATAGTTTTTTTATATTTTTCATAACAATATACTGCATATTATACGTATAGTCCGTAGTGATGTTTTGCGGTCTAAGTGAGGCTACAAGTAGCGCAATCCTCCTCCCATTCCTCAAGTCTGCAGTCCCTAAACCACAATTTCTCTCTGGTGTTTTGGTTGCCCACGGGCGGCACCGATTCCTATTCATTAGGCTATAGGCATACTTTAATACCACCCTAACCCTAAGAGCCAATAGAGCACCACCGGCGGGGTCCTACAGGACCGATGTTTAGGGAGGGTTAGGGGGCTAGCGAAGTAAAGTACCGCGGCCTCGGTTTAAAGTAGGAGAAAGAACGAGGGATTTTTATCAGTAAGAGTCTGACACTCCTTTATAGCCTCACCCTGGGTGGGATAAGTCAATTGACGATTTTCCCAGACGGATAACCTGATGTTAAGCAATCAGCGCCGTCCATAGATACCCTCAACCAGAGGAGTTACGAGTGCGTTGCCGACCTTTTAGGGATTAGGGTTTTGGAGATTTAAGGATTGGGGAGGCATCGGGAGAGGGGAAGAATTGGGCCTCCGGTAACCTCACACAGACAGTGAAACACAACGCTGTGGTTGTTTCACGCCGATGTTTTGTGAGGCACTACGGTCGAGCTGACCAATTCGTGCCGGAGCATGGCTCTGCCACACATATTGAAATATATGGCAGTAACTTTCAGTGAAATGGTCTAAATCGAAAATATGATAGCATTAAAATAAATTTGGTCTCTAGCTTTCTCATCTGATAGTGGATGCTGGTCCTGACTGCCGATGAAGTACACCTATCTACAACCTATGGTAAAGTTTGTTATCACACAGCCTATGCTGACCACTGCTAAATTATGGGTATTGTCTACATAAACAAGGAGGATTACCACGATCTGCAAGAGGCAGGAAGTGGCGGAATTGGAGATCGGAGTTCGAAATCATACGAGGGGATTCGGGGTACTAAGAAATCTGTTCTCGTTATCTATTACCATAAAACTCGCCGGTTATATAAAAGATATTGTGTCTGTTTTACCCCATAATGCTTAGAATATAGATACCAAGGACAAAAAATACAATATAAAGTTAATAA